TGACAGGCGAGTGGTAAGATGCACCACCCTTTCCAAATAAGCAGGATCCAACGGGAAATGGAAGGAGAGGCTGAAAGTACTTGATCCTTCACATTCCTCTATCTGTGCAACATGTGGGGAGAACTGGCTTTCTCTCTCTCTCTCGCTCTCTCTCTCTCTCTGCTTGTTTGTAAACAGCTGAACTTTGAGCTTCCTCTGGAGAACACACCATTTGTCAGCTCAATGCAAAGAGTTACAAAATCTTCCAAACAGCATTGAGAAATAATTGGCTTCAGATGGAGAAAACAGAGGGGCTCATGGGGTTACATCTTTGGCAGTGAGAAATGGTGAGTGAAGGAAAGGGGTGGGAGGGAGCTTTGGTAGCTAGAAGCAAGGCTGGCTCGAGGTTATTCTTGTGCACTTGGGACTCTTTCTCCTCTGTTTCATTTCCCTCCCGTGTTGATCAAAATGTGCTCAGACCCCACAGCCTCATGTTCAGTAGGACATGGGCTGAGAGACGTGGTGTTCTCTGCCAGAGCTGTGGGTTTCTGGTGCTGTTTTGGACAGCAGACCAGAATCTGCTCCTGCTCCCATTGCTGATCTCCATTTGGAAGCTGTGTAAAAGCTTCCCCTTTATTTCCACTGGGCACAACGTTTATATTAATTTGCACCGTAAGCTGGTTTCTCTGAATGGGTTTTGTTTTCTGAGTGTTCTGCTTGCTTCAGGGTTTAGGGGATAAAACTCAGCACCAGCTGGGAGCTCTTTTAGGTAAAATTCCCTGGCTGGAGCTTGCTGTGGTTTGACATACGCTTGCCAAAGTCGGTAGCTCTGACTGAGCAAGGAGTCACCAAAGCTGCTGGCTAAACGAAGTACTCACACATGAAAACACCTCTGCAAAGAATGCCCTGTGGCAGATCCTGCTCATGGGTAGGGCCAAGTTCTGCACTGACATGCACCCCATGTAACTCCAGTGAAGAAGTGAGCACAAGATACAGCCCTTAAACGGTCACTAATCAGCTAAAACTTACTCCCTTCTGCTTCAAACCTGATGCATGTGATAAGAGTGAGCAGTAGCTGCTTTCGTTAAACTCTGTTGTTGTAGCACAGCTTTCCTGACTCCTCAAAGCTTTTGGCTCTCACCACCCTCCCCCCCCCCACCCCCCAGTGTCCTTTGCAACCAAATTCCGGCTAGCAAACCCTGTTCAATGGCTGAGCACAATTTGCCATGCAAACAGATACAAAAGCTTGAGCTACTGCTGACTAGCTGAATCCTCCTGCTATTGAGATGCTGTGGTGGAAATTAACCCAGGCAACAACCCAGCCTTACCCCAACAGTGCCGCAGGACTGTCCTCCACCTCCGGTTGTTGTTTTTCTGTCTTCTTAAACTTCACGTCTCTCTCCCCCCATCCTGCCCCTCTCTGGCTTGGGGTTCTTTCCTCGCTTGGCTCCTCTCCACTCTGCTGCTGACAGCCAGCTGCTGTCTCTGCCCAAGCTCTTATTTTTTGTTGTTGGTCGTTCTGGAGATGTGAGGTTTCGGATTACATGTGTGCTGGGGAGGGAGGCGAGAAGTGAGCACAAGCAGAGCCTGGCAACTGGTACTAACGGTCTAGAGCGGAGCCCACGGTGCCAACACTTGTTGGAAACGTCCTATGTATCTTCCTGCCAGCTAGGTCTCGTCTTTGTTCCGATTAATGACGGCTTTTGCTGGAGTAGTCTGGGTTGGGGTCATATTGATTTCCTTTCAATAGTTCGGTTGCATGTTAAAGCAATTAACTTTCTTTATGCTGTCCAGTTTCCTGCTGGCTCCCAATGGGGAATGCACTGTTCTCTTGTGTTCTCTGAAGAAGCTGGGAATAAAGGGGATGAAATGACAATGCCATTTCCTTTAGAAAAGAAGAGGAAAGAAGGATGATCTTGTGGTTAGGATGGGGTACTCGGAGGCAGGAGCCTTGTGTTATCTTCTTGGCTCTGCTACGTATCTCCGTGTGACTTTGGCCAAGTCATTTAACTTCTTGATGCCTCAATTTACCCTTCTGTATACTGGGGGCAATAATACCTACCTGCCTCAAAGGAGTGTTGAGGCTTACTTGCCACTGATACATTGTTTCCTCTGTCTTGGTGGGTCCCAATAAGTTGCCTTTTCCCCCCCCCCCCCCCGCCCCCGCAATTGGCAACTAGCTGAACAATTGTTTTTTATTAACTAATTCCTGAGTTGTCTTGGTGGTTTGCTCCATTCAAGAGGACCTCCCCTCCCAAATGGTTGGGATCCCTATTCAGCAGACCTGGCGTCCCTCCCTAGTGTATCTCACTGGAGATGCAATATCTTTTCAGAGACACGTAGTAGCTATGCTAAGATAAATGCAACTTTCCCTGGTATTTTATCTTCCCTCTCTGGTTGGAGATAAGGGGCTGAAACATTCTTCACTGGACAAAAGCAGATGGCATAAAGAAAGGAGAGGCAGGGCACTGAACTCTGATGAACATCCTCGTTATCATCTTGTCTGCAGTGATAGGGTTTCACTAACATTTCGCATCATGTTACTGAAATTTATCAGTGTTTGCTTTTCTTTCTGTCCCTTAACACAAAATCAAGGGGGTTTCTCAGTGAAATGAAAGGTGACTACATTTAGAAAAAATTGTCAGAGTCAACCTGTGGAACTCGCTGCTGCAGGGAGAGAGACAAATACTATGGCTGGATTTTTAAAGGGCTGGATAACTTCAGGACACTTGTGACAATGTAATCTGAGATAATGGGTATAACCAAGTCTCATGCTTCAAGGCATAAATGAACTGCTTGTGGGGCAGAGGAAGGCTATCCCACCATGTAGATCGTTGCACAACTAGCTAGGTACAGTAGAACCTCGATTTTTTTTTTTTTTTTTTTTTACAAACACCAATCTTATGAACAACCAGTTATACAAACCCTGCTTCGCAGCCATGGGAACAGATCACATAACACAAGTGATGTCTCTGAAGAACAAGTCGTCATTCCTTCACACTCTGATTCCTTCAGTGCATTGGAAATGTTTGCAGTGGTTTGAAGAAGAAAGTGGTACAGTACATCATACTGCAACTTATGCACTGTACCTGCTGCAATTGAGATGTTTAGTTTAATGAACTCTTCAATTTTGTGAACCACTCAATTACCAATGTGTTTGTAAAGTAGCGGAGTTATTGTATTTTATTTGTTTTGCCTTCATCTGAAGCATTAAGGTTTTGGCTGTTAACAGGACACCAGTGGCTTCAGAGCTCCTCCGTTCTTTGCTGCAGCATTCCAGGGCAAAATCTTGTTTGTTGGTATTAGGGGGTTAAATGTACATGCAAACATCTTCCCCTCCCTCCTAACCCTGTCACTAAAGCTCTGAGGGGAAGGAGGGAGACATGACCAGCCATTATGTGCTTCACTCTTAACTCCAAGAGGAGTGGTGTGTGTCGGACTAATGAGCGAATAATGCCTTCACTTTTATCTCTCTTTGAGAAACAAAGAACTGACTCACAGAAGTCCTTTGACATTTCTGTAATGGTGCTGCAGTGGCAGGACCTGCAGCACCCTGCCGTTCTTTTGGAAGGGTAGCGGGAGAGACTCAAATGTCTCTCCCTTTTTTCCCTGGTTGTGAAAGACCTCTTTCTCTGAATTCAGGACCAGAATGAGTCATTGCTGCTTTGCAGGGGGATAGAAAGCCATCTTTGTAGTAGCCCCTATTCAGCTTTCAGTGACCTGGGTTCATAGTACAATTAATTCACTGTCTCGATCCCCTTACCTGGGTAGTAGTGTGTTCCTTCTGACTTCAGCACACACGCTCGCACTGAGCTTGTTTGGAGCCTGTTGCTTTAGGTTTCTTCACCAGCTCTTGGCTGTGTTTTCTGCTTGGTAAATCAAAACCCCTGGGCTGCAAGAGAGTTAATGAATAGGCAGTCATTATGGACTTCTAACAGAGTCTGCTTGAAATGCCTGGAGCCAACAGATATTCTGCTGGATTCCTTGCCATCTTCTGGCCAGGAATCCAGTCTTAACCCCCGGCCCCCGCCCCCTTTCCATGCACCTGTTTGTAGATGTCACCATTCAGACCTGCCTTTAAAAGGTAGTTTCTAATGGAGGAAATACTTCTTTTCCTCTTTTCCCTCTGTGACCATTTTGCTGCTGAAGCTGCCAAGCCCGCTGGAGTGCTTTTGGTAGAGAAGAGAAAATGGTCCCGCCCAACTCTTTAATAATAGAATAGTCGTCTTTTAAATTTGTGTTGTTTTAGTTGCAGAGCCTGTTAGAGGCCAAGCCCAAGTCGGCTGTGCTACACAGATGCCCTGTGAAGTAAGTTCACTGGAGTTGCATCTTTGTAACTGACAGCAGAACTTGGTCCAATGTTGTCAACTGTTTGGGGGAGTTACAACCTTAAGATGAGACTTGGCACCAAGGGCTAGATATTCAAAAGCAAGCCATGCATCTGAAATACGCTTTTCTCTCTGTTTCCCAAGTGCTGCGTAAATAAATTAATCATCATCATTATATTGTATGTGTCCAAAATGTGCTAGACACAATACATCAGATGCTATATGCAAATCAATAATAAGCAGCTAGCCATTAATCCATTTCCATGGCCTGGCTTTAGTAGAGAGAAGTGGTGCATGTGTGAGAGGGGAGAAAAGAACTAAAGTACTTCAATTGTATGCTCACTGGGGCAGGGAGCGTCCTTTTTGTTCTGTGTTTGTACAGCACCTAGCACAGTGGGGTCCTGGTCCGTGACTCAAGCTCGTAAGCAGGATGCTAGTACAAAAAACACGTAAGATTTTGAGTAAAATCCCTGCAGCTGTCGTTGATGTGTGGGAAAGTGAGGCGCTTGAGAAAATGTTCCCTGTTCTAAAAAAATCCCAATCACACTTTTATAGATTTAGCAAAAGCAGGTCTATGAGAAAAGTAGCAAAAATGTAGTCCTCACTGAGGACTGGTGTCTGCTTGATTTAACAAAGTTATGGCTATTTGAAAATTGTGTCTTGAGAAAATGTCTGTCTGCACTTCGCTTAGTCACTGCTTCCCAGCTAGCTAAGGGCAGGTCTGCACTGCAGCTGGGAGCGTGCTTCCTAGCGCAGGGGTTCTCAAACTGGGGGTCAGGAGGTTATTACACGAGGGGTCGCAAGCTGTCAGCCTCCACCCCAAACCCCGCTTTGCCTCCAGTATTTATAATGGTGTTAAATATACAAAAATGTTTTTAATTTATAAGGGGGGGGGTCGCACTCAGAGGCTTGCTATGTGAAAGGGGTCACCAGTACAAAAGTTTGAGAACCATTGTCCTAGCAGAATAGACAGACACACGCTAGCTCTGTTCAAGCGAATGCACTAAAAATAGCTGTGTAGCTGGGGTAGCATGGGCAGCAACATAGGCTAGCCACTTGAGTACGTACCTAGGGGATCCAGGCGGATTTGTACTTGGGTGTCTAGCCTGAGTCACTGCCCATGCTACCCCCAGCTACCCTACTAATTTTAGTGTGCTAGCTCGAAGCAGGCTGTCAACTGTAGTGTAGATGTATCCTAAGTGAGCGCTGTTTGCTTTTAAGGAACTTGAAACCCTGCTGTTGATACTTGAAAGCCCTGCAAATAGGTCTTGAGTAGCTTATGGGAGGGCATGCGAGCTCTGGAAGTCAGATAGATCTGGATTTCCTCCAGCCCTCTATGAACAACAAATAAATTAAATGCAGGATCACAAAAATTAAGGTTCCAACATCTATGTTGTACCCATGTTCTAATGTTCCATTCCTGTTTTTCTTATTAAAAATGTGTAGCTTAATATGTTACTCCTTTGTGATAAAATTAGGGCTGTCAAGCGATTACAAAAAAGTGATCGCACGATTACAAAAAAGTGATCGCACGATTAATCACACTGTTAAACAATAGTAGAATACTATTTATTTAAATATTTTTGGATGTTTTCTACATTTTCAAATATATTGATTTCAATTATAACATAGAATACAAAGTGTACAGTGCTCACTTTATATTTATTTTTTATCACAAATATTTGCACTGTAAAAAATCAAAATAAATAGTATTTTTCAATTCATCTCATACAAGTACTGTAGTGCAATCTCTTTATCATGAAAGTTGAACTTACAAATGTAGAATTATGTACAAAAAAACTGCATTAAAAAATAAAACAATGTAAAACTTTAGAGCCTACAAGTCCACTCAGTCCAATCGCTCAGACAAACAAGTTTGTTTACATCTGCAAGAGATAATGCTGCCCACTTCTTGTTCACAATGTCACCTGAAAGCGACATCAGGCATTCTCATGGCGCTGTTGTAGCTGATGTCGCAAGATATTTACATGCCAGATGCGTTAAAGATTCGTATGTCCCTTCATGCGTCCATGCTGATGATGGGTTCTGCTCGATAACAATCCAAAGCAGTGCGGACCGACACAGGTTCATTTTCATCATCAGAGTCAGATGCCACCAGCACAAGGTTGATTTTCTTTTATGGTGGTTTGGGTTCTGTAGTTTCCGCATCAGAGTGTTGCTCTTTTATGACTTCTGAAAGCATGCTCCATACCCCCTTCCCTCTCAGATTTTGGAAGGCACTTCAGATTCTTAAACCTTGGGTCAAGTGCTGTAGCTATCTTTAGAAATCTCACACTGGTACCTTCTTTTTGTTTTGTC